TAAACACTTTATTAAGAGGGATATGTGATGGAAAAAAAAAAGAAACTAAAAGGGGTTTCCATGATAAATAGAGAAAAAAAGGAGGGATTTGAAAAATCTCGATAGGCTGGGATTGGAAGACTAGATTAACATTTGGTAGGGTATTCTAAATCTAATTTAGCAATTCAATACAAAACGAATAAAAATTAAGTTAAAAATATTAGAATTAATATTAGGTTTTATGCTATAAATTTAGAAAAAGTAAAAATTGATGATAAATTGACTTAATTGGGTTAGGATAACTTGTAATGGGTGTTAAATTAGTGGAAATTAATGAAGAAAGCATAGTAATCCTAAAGGCATTCATGGTCGGCCCAAAGGTGCTAATTGATATATGATAGAAATGTGTTCATTTAAGTGAATTGTAATATATCAATCTATAATTTTATGTGTGAGATAATTTTAGTTACATTTTATATTATGAATTAAATCGATTATGTCATTGTGAATCAAAACCTTGAAAATGATAATAAAACTTAGAGATGAGAATCCTTGTGATTGGTTGATTTTGCATATAAGGAGGAAATTGATGGAAAATATTCATTTTTATCTTATGATACCATTATTGGTGTGAATTATGATATTGGAAGTATATACGACTATGCTAATATTGTGAAAAGTAAATTTGGTATGAATTCCTACAATGAGCATGCTTTTTTATAAAATAGTTTTGATTATTTTAAATAGATATGAGTCAGGTTGGTAAGTTTTATAAAGTAATTTTTAATAATATTATAATGTAAATGACATGGTAAAGATTGTTTTGAAATGTGAGAAATTGAAGAAGAAGTAAAGTCATAGAAAGGAAAACTGGACAAACTTATATTCTAAAGTTTAGAAGAGATTAAGACATGAAAATGATAACATTTAAGATGAGTTTCTCATAGAAGTTATAGCCTAGGGTATTATCTTTCCAATGGGGTTGACCTTGTTTAATTTGAAGCTATAAAACTCCAAATACGGATCAAAATATAAAGAAAGGTCAAACTAAAAATTATAATGGATAATTTCGACAAATTATAATATTAGTTGGTTTTGGTGTGTTAATGGCAAACTAGGCTTTCCTTTTCTCAATAGAAATATATTTTTAAATCTTATATTTCATAAGAAACAAGCTACATCCAAAACCAAATTTTTATAACTTTTCAAGATAGATTTGCTAGGGTTGACTAGCTTTTATTTTTTCTTAAAAATTGTCATGATGTAAGAACTAAATTGATAGGGTTGTAAAGGTGAAATGAAAAAAAACCAATTATCAATGTAGAGTTTTAATTTCATGCGGATAAATTAAAGTAAAAGAATTAACTTTCTGTTAATGAAATTAGTGCTTGGTAATAAGTGAATGAACTAGTTTTCCGATAACGAGACTAATGTTTGCTAATGAGCAAAGGAACTAGCAATCATCTTGACTAGATTTAGGTTATTTTAGCTATGATTTTTTTTTTAATTTGTCCTTTAACATTTGATTTGATGGTACTTAAGGTTCAAATCTTTTTTTTTTATTATTATTCATTAAGATTGTTGAGACCTTTTAAGAATATTTAGAGTGCAACTTTCATAATATTAGCAAGTATTAACTTTTTGTATCAGCCAATATTGTTTTTTTTATATTGTTATTGACTTTTTAAATAATTACATTATTAAATTAACTGAGTGTATTGAATGATTTGAATTAATGAATATGAATCCTAAATTTTTCTTGCTCTTTTTGAAAAGTTATTATCCCCTAAGATTTTTTTATGAAAAATTTTACCTAGCCCACAAGTAACACCTATCTAGTTATTACAAAAGTGGTGACTTGCGTTACACCACATTACACCACAGACTGAGTTAAATTTTTTATAAAATAATAAAGATAACTAGAGAATGATAAAGTCAATCTAGATTAACTTGATCAACACGTGACCCGAGATATAAGATCATAATAATCTTGTAAAAAAAATATATCACAAAGCTTAAAGTCCAATAATCAAATGTTAAAGGATGATAGTGAAATTAAAAAAAAAAACATGTCAAATAAAAAGATCTAAGTCAAGTTAGGTTAACTTTACAAACCCATCAAATGCAATATAAGATTGGGATTTGAAAATTATTTAAAAAAAA